TCCATTAAGGGTTACCAGAGATAACAACATATCTATTTTAACCTTGATCAAATAAACCAACGGTATGTTCCTTCCTTTTAACAATCTTAATCTTTAGTCCCTTCAAATAATGTCCTAGAGCTTGATTTCTTTTCATTTTTTCTTTGTCCCTTCTCACAAAATTCTTCAAAGTTTTAACAAGCCTCTTTTCTAAATCCAATATAGAAAAATTATCCAGGTCACTCTCTTGGTTTGTTATTTGTATATCCCTTTTAATTATTAAGACATCAGCCAGTTTCTTTTGTATGTCCCATGTAACGTCTTTTTCCATGTCATTCTTGTAGCCGTTCTTTAAAATCCACTTTCAAGTCAGTCTCACGGTATGTTCCTTCCTTTTAACAATCTTAATCTTTAGTCCCTTCAAATAATGTCCTAGAGCTTGATTTCTTTTCATTTTTTCTTTGTCCCTTCTCACAAAATTCTTCAAAGTTTTAACAAGCCTCTTTTCTAAATCCAATATAGAAAAATTATCCAGGTCACTCTCTTGGTTTGTTATTTGTATATCCCTTTTAATTATTAAGACATCAGCCAGTTTCTTTTGTATGTCCCATGTAACGTCTTTTTCCATGTCATTCTTGTAGCCGTTCTTTAAAATCCACTTTCAAGTCAGTCTCAATCTTGTCAGGTAACACTTGTTCCTCTTCCATAACATCTTTTAAACACAGTCTATCTATAGAAGCAGACCCTCTTAAAATAAACTTCTGGGTCCATTGTTCAAAAATATCCTTCAATATGTCCAATGTTAAAATATTTTGCTTCATTCTGTATTTGTAAGTCAAGCTTGGGTGTTCTTCTCCTTTAACTGTAACCTTTGGTTCCTTCTAGTTCCCTTTAGTGTCCAATTTTTAAAGTCTTATCTTATTACGCTTTTTTTTAAAAAATAATTCAGAACAAAAGCATTTTCCCATGGGAAGGATTCTTTATTAATTCCAAAATCTTATTTCAAAATTATCAGGACCTTTAGTCTATTTGTAACTTTCTAAAATTGAAGTTTAATAGCCCTTTTGCTGTTTATTTCCCTCCCCTCCACCCCCAATTCTTAAGCACTTAAACTTGTATTTAAAACTTTTTTCACTAAGGATTGAAGGAAACTCACCCAGTTTCCTAATAAAGTTTCCTAATAACTGAACAGCAGTTAACAAGCAATTTCTGAAAGTGATTAGAAAAGGAAGTATGTGAACTTAGTGTCCTTTCAAAAGCACACCACGGTATGAGCAAGATGGCTGTTCCCTCATCTCCCAGAGCTGTAAATCCACCAGTGACCACTCTCTTATAGTCTCCTTGCAAGGAGCAACTGTCTGGAGCACTTGTGGGTGATCTCAAGTCCTCTCCTTGTCCAGAGAGAAATGATTGAAGAGCTGGTCTACTCGCCAGCAATTCATTTTACTGCAGTCATCAGCTCTGCTTCTCGTGGAGCCGTTTTCAGTCTGCCATTTCTTCTCCAGAAGTCCACTAACCTGGATATCTTAATGTCTCTCCTCCCCAGTGGTTGTCAAGTGGCAAAGCTAAGGAAGGAAATCTGTAAGCCATGTAGCTCTCAGTCTAATTTCATATGTGGGGATATAAAGAAAGAAACGCAGGATGAGTTTGAAAAAAATTAAATGCAGATGCATCTGCATACTTTGTTGTCTGTATGTTTTATTCCAAATGTTGCATAAGAGATTCTTTTGAAGAACTTTCATGAATAATGAGGAAAAAGGTTAAGATTGAGGCTTACTGTATCCTGCAGAGCATAGTTTCTGCTTAGCTGGGTTAACTTTATATTTGAGTAGGCGAAAGGGAAGGACAAGAGCAATACTGTAGCTGATTTGGAGTAGGATAAGAATATAACTGGGTCAAGATTTTTACATCAACACATATCAAAACTGGACTAAAGAGGGAACTAAATATTCTCTAATATGGGAAAGATAGGTGATTTTTCTCTTTTAGGTAATATCATGCACATGGAACATGCAGTACCACATATTAAGGAAATTCCCCTTTATTTGATGTGTCTAATGTGTGACTCTCAGCATACAGTCTTTCTTTAATATCAGTCCTAAATAAAGGGAAAAAAGAAATAATATACATATATTGTCCATGCTATAATAATCGAGACAATGGGCCTAGTTTATGGTGGCACAAAATTTTATGTATATAAGTAACTTTTCAGAGGGAATGGGATTCAATAATATTGTTCCATCTGGTCAACACATAAATTCTGGTTGATTCCATGTGCATGGAAATATTCAACTGCATTATTTTAACAAATAATTAGGAAGATGAGTATGCTCTTGTATTAATTTTTTTGTTAAAAATAAATCCTTAAAATAACAAATTTTACTCTGCCTTCTCCATTTTGGACAAGAGTAGAGGTATTGAACATACAAAGTACTACTCTGGTATCCTGGATTTTTGGGTTTAGCCAACTCGGTATTCAGAGAAGCTAGTAGGAAGAGCTGCAGATTTTTTTTTCACACTCATCTATGAAGAATTCTGAATATACAAAAGGCCAGTAGCAACCTTGGCCCTTGGGCCAGGAGAATGGAGGGGTGCTTGCCTGAAACTCACTTTGTATTTGCTGGGAACATCCATCTTGTTCCGGAGGAACTTGGCCAGGTGCATGATAGTCATAGCAGCAGGACAGCGGAGGAATCTCATGCTGTTCTTCTACAGAGGAATGAGAGAGAGGAGAGAGATGGTTTTAACTGGAAAGGGCTGGGCTGCACAGCAGGAGGTTGAAGTTGAAATATGTATGGAAGCAACTGTAAATCTGCCAACAGGCTAGGAAGTCAGGGGGTGGGGGAGGAGTACAAGAGGTTCTCAAGTCACAGGCAAAAGCCACTGATGCAGTGTAGATGCCATTGTGGTGATGAGCAAAGGGAAAAGATGTAGCCTGAGCTTGGAAGAGGGGGAGAAAGAGTCAAGGGAAGGGAAGGGAAGGGAAGGGAAGGGAAGGGAAGGGAAGGGAAGGGAAGGGCAAAACAAAGTGTAAAGGAAGTAAAATAGGAAAAAAAAGGAAATATGAAAGTCATGTTGATGGAAAAGAAGATAGTGGAAGCAAAAGCAAACAATACTGACATCTGTATGCCTAGGACCTCATTCAAGCCCAGATTCAGAATTCTTTTTAATAACGTGATTCAAGCTTAGGTTGCATATAAATATTAGCATTCCCTTTGGCATCTACTCCATATTTTACAACCTGCTTCCAAGTCATAAAACACTAAGGCTACCCAATCTGAGGGTGCAAAAATACAAATTGTCACTAGATGGTAACAAATATACACAGCTGCCATAGTGTTTGTCACCTTTTTTTCAGGCAAGATATGGTAGCCTTTACAAATATTAAGAGACAAGGCCTTTGTAGTCAGAAGATAGCCACCTTGAATCTTTACATAAAACAACCTCTACGGCACACAAGTAGGATTCCAGCTCAGAGGAGTTTTAGACAAGTCCCCCAAATTAAAAATTATTGCTGTCATAATACATGAACAATTGGAGAAGATTTATATACTTCCTCCCTATCCAAACCACTTTAGAACACGTAGCTATTGAAATTTAATACAGAAACCACAGTATAATGTAACTCACCTTATCTTTTTCCATGTTTCCATTTTCAACAGTCCCTTTATTTTCTTCTCTGAGAGGGAAGAAGTAAGAAGAGAAATCAATCAAATATGCATACACATACAGCCAGAGATAAAGGGATATCTAGGAAGTTATTTCATTCACTGCATGAAACATACCCAGGCCACCCTGAAACCAGAAATGTAATTACTTCTGCATGCATTTTAGCTATATGAGTTACGGAGTACATACTTCTTCTTTCTAGTGGTATGTGAAAATCTTCCCTATAATAAAGTACTATTAGGCAGAACAAACTAACTATTTGGGGGAACTGGACCTGAATGCTACAAAGGGCTGTAAATGCCATGATGATGATGATGATGACGATGACGACAATGTATTTTCACTTCCAGGATGAAGTAATTGTGGAACCAGTGTTAACAGGACTAAATACTATGTACCTTGATTTGGAGGGGAGCACCATTTGCTATTCTGCCTTATGCAGCAAAATAAGCCTCAAATGGCATAGTGTTTTACAAGAAGCATTCTTAGAAAATAGGGACCTGTCCTTAGAAAAAGGAACTACTAGAACATATGCTAATCATGGCCATTCCATCAATATTGTTCTTCCAACCCAGTTAGTACCTCTGTTTTTCATTAAGAGCCAGCCAAAGTTATACATGTACAAATCACTGATTGCCAGACTGCAGTCTAAGAGAGAAGCTATGTAATCTTCTGTTAGATTAATTTGAAGGGGATATAAATTAGCCAGTACAGATTAAAAATAGGGAACAGGACAAAATAAGAATTAGGAAGGGAGCCAGAACAGCACTGAGAAAGGATTTTAAGCTTTCTACAGTGGTGCTTAAAAGTTTGTGAATTCTTTTGAATTTTCAGTATTTCTGCATAAAAATAGCCTAAAATATTATCTGTTCTCCACACAAGTTCTAAAACTAGATAAAGAGAACCCAATTAAACAAATGAGTCAAAAACATTATCCTTGTTCATTTATTTATTGAGGAAAATGATCCAAAGCTACGTATCTGTGTGGCGAAAGTATGGGAACCTCTAGAATTATCAGTTCATTTGAAGGGTAAATTAGAGTCAGGTGTTTCAACCAATGGGATGAGAATCAAGTGTGAGTGTGGGAGGTCCTGCCTTATTTAAAGAACAGAATTCTGGGGATTCACTCTCAAAGTCTGATGTTCACAACACAGGTATGTCATGGCTTGAACAAAGGAAACTTCTGAGGACCTCCAAAAACAGGTGTTGATGCTCACCAGGCTGGAAAAGATCACAAAACTATTTGTAAAATGTTTGGACTCCATCAGTCTACTGTCAGGCAGACTGTACAAATGGAGGCAATTCAACACCATTGTTACCCTCCCCAGGAATGGTCAACCAACCAAGATCACACCAAGAGCAAGGCATGTAATACTCCAGGAGGCTTCAAAGAACCCCAGGGTAATGTCTAAGGAACTAAAGGCCTCTCTTGCATGTGTTCATGAGACTACCATCAGGAGAACACTGAACAACAATGGTGTGCATGGCAGCGTTGCAAGGAGAAAGCGGCTACTCTGTAAAACAAACATTGCTGCCCCTCTACAGTTTGCAAAAGGCCGCATGGATAAGCCAGAAGCTTTGGAAGGATGTTCTGTGGACGGATGAGACCAAAATAGAACTTTTGGCTTGAATGAAAAGTGTTATCTGGCGAAAGGCAAACACTGCATTCCAGCATTAGAACCTTACCCCATCTGTGAAACGTGGTGGTGGCAGCATCATGGTTTGGGCCTGCTTTGCTGCCTCTGGACCAGGATGGCTTGCCATCATTGATGAAACTATGAGTTCTGAATTTTACCAGGAAATTCTACAGTAAAATGTCAGGCTATCTGTCCATGAACTGAAGCTCAAGAGAAAGTGGGCCATGCATCAAGACAATAACTGAAAACACACAAGCTGTACGACCAAAGAATAGTTAAAGCAGAAGAAAGTTAATGTTTTGGAATGGCCAAGTCAAAGTCCTGACCTTAATTCTGTAGAAATGTTGTAGAAGGATCTGAAGTGGTCAGCTCACATGAGGAAGTCTACCAACATCCCTGAGTTGAAGCTGTTTTCTAAGAAGGAATGGGCTAAAATTCCTCCAATGTGCAGGACAGATCTACAGTTATCAGAAACATTTAGTTGCAGTTATTGCTGCCCAACGGGGCTGCACCAGTTACTGAAAGCAAAGGTTCAGATACTTTGCCACCGACAAATATGTAGTTTTGGATCATTTTCCTCAATAAATAAATGAAGTAATATAATGTTTTTGACTCATTTGTTTAATTGGGTTCTCTTATCTAGTTTGGGACTTCTGTGAAAAACAGATCATGTTTTATGTCATATTTATGCAGAAATATTGAAAATTCAAAAGAGTTCACAAATTTTTAAGGATCACTGTATCTGGTAAATATAAATGTGACTTGATTGCAGATTTTGGGCAGAATTAGCTCATTTTCCTAAATCACTTCCCCAGTATTTGCACACTGGATGCCCACATACAAAAGAATTAGACACAAAAAAGTAAAAAAGGATAAAAACAAATGCAGAAAAATCCTGCTTTAAAACAGAAATAAAGATTGCTAATTGTAGAAAATGGATAGCTTGTATATGCCATTAGAAGAGCCTCTACTTATATACAGAAGATACTTGGTTCTGTCACCAAAGTCTCCAGAAAGAAATGGAAATTCTCCTCCCTGAAACCCCAGAGAGCTGTTGCCAGTCAGCATTGACAATACTGAGCTAAATGGACTAATGGTCTGAGGTGGGACATGAGAGCATCCTCTGCTGTACAGGAGCAAACCTCAGCAATCTGAAACCTGGTTTGTCCTTTGCTTCCAATGATCCTGTGTCCTAAAAGGATGCGGGAAGGGAATGAAACTTTACCCTTAGGAACATATTCTCTGAGCTCCATTTTCCCCTCTTTAAAAATTATCCCAACTGTGACACTGCTGTCTTATCATTAGAAATTTGGGAGTGGAAAAGGAAAGTGCAGCATATATTCTTCAAGCCTGCCTTCCCCCAAAATTGTAGTGGAGAAACAGATCTGTGGATGTGGATATGGATTTGGCTCAGCTAGGTGGCAGCACCTAACTGACCTTGGCTGATCTTGAAAAGCTAAGGTCAGAGCTCCTAAATATTGGATGGAAAACCAAGGAGATGCCAAAACTGAAGTCGAGAAGTCAAACAAGTTTCTTAAAACAAAACCAAGGCAAACTATTTCTATACTTTTGCCAAGAAAACTACATGGATGTGTACCTGTCAAGTTGAGTCCAGCTTCAAGGAGACTTTGGCTTTACTTTTTTGTGTGCTATTTATATTTTTAAAAATGTTATATTGCAATATAGAACAGAGAAGGTGGCATCTACCTTGGGAGCCATACTGAGACATACATCTATCTCAGGCTGTGATTCCTGATTGGAAAAGAAGATGTGGCTGCAGAAAACTGTCCCGTTTGTTTGAGGATCTGCTTAGCTGGCCTTTATACAGGGGTATAAAGTATAAATCCAGGGGGTTCCTCAGCAGGAAGAGTGGGGAAATTGGCAAGGCTGGCATTACTACCTAAAGAGCCCTCTCCTCCTCTTCCTACATCCAGTATCTCCATTAACTCCAGAGTCTGACATTTGCTAATTGCATTATTGGCTGGGGAAAGGGGTAGGGAGAAGTTATGAAAAATATAAAAAGAAGTGTATTCCTCTTGCTTTGGCACTTTCTTTTTGTTGAAACTAACTGATTCTATAATTTGTTGAAACTTCCAGCAAAAGTAAGAATTCAATGTACAAATTAATCTCTCCTCTGGGTCTGCCTTTGTTTAGGTCTAAGTTGTAGATAGTTGTCATATTCTGAAATGAATACACACAAAGATAATATACCAAAAATGATTTGGGCAGTTAAATGATACTAAACCATTTTTCAAGTAACAGAGAAAAAGATAAAACCATTAAAACTATAATGATTTAAAGTCAGAACAGCAGAAGAAATATCAGCAAAATATTATCCCTTTTATATTCCCTAAATTGTTACCTAATTCCTTCATAGAATTCTATGGATAAGCTGACAATTTCATCATCAGTTAGGTTCCCTTTTTCCTGTTCTGAAACTTCTCCCCGGTCTTCATTGGATCCATTAGGAACTAGACAAATAAAGAAAGTGAATGAAAATCACACCTGTTCTTTAAAACATGTATCACTGTTGACATACAGCAAAAGAAAGATCAGGCAGACATCATACCATCTGCCAGAGGATAAGCTGCATAGAAATCACGTCGCCTCTTCATTTCATCTGCAAATGAAAGCAAAGTTAATTCATTTAGCAGCATTCTTCTCTTCCAGTCATACTACAAATACATTTATTACTATTGAGAAACAATTGTGCACAGATTAAAAAAAGAATTAGAATCTCTCTTGCATTAAATCCTGAGATATTTTTCAAAATTCTTTTATACCACCTAATAATTATGTAATATTATTTATCAGCCCAACATCAGAATCAAACAATCAGCTTGCTGCATTTTACTATGTCAGCTAGGAAGCTCTGTCCCAAATTCTATTCTCAAAACCCTCAGCAGCCACATACTCATACCTTTGAAGAGTCCTGGTACCAGCTTATACACTATATCCTGTAGAGTTTTATCTGATCTGAAATAAGACAAGCAGACTGTTAACAGAAATGTTAACTTAGAGTAAATAGAAATACAGAACTATTTAAATTCCTCCAAAAGGCAAAGGAGCCTGGAGATTTAAGAACTGCTTTACTCTTGTACAAGCAGAAAAATGCATTTTCCCCTCTTCTGAGTAACCACAACCATTCACTCCATCTAACTTTAGAAAGCAAGCCTGTGTTCCTCCTGTTTGGCAAATTAGCATTCATATATCATTTTAAGTTGTTAAGAAAGATCCTCAACTAAAACTATTTATGCAAGGCTATGCAGCTTAACATGCTAAAAACTTTAAATCTCACTTTAAAAACCCACTTTTTTATTTCTTTAAAAAGATTTGGATTTTGGGGATCATCTAGATTTCTGGTGGACAGAAACAGTGCTGAGGTACAATCTCACAGATCCCAGCACAATAATCCCTTCCCAATCATTTGCCAGCTTGTAAAATTGATAAACATCTGGAGGATCGAATATATTTAAGCCCCTTTATATCAGCTCCTTACATTTCTGACCGCGCAATTTATATTTGTAGCAGGACTCAGCAGAAAAGTGAATTATAAAGGTTTATAATTATAATTATAACTGGATTTAGTTTCCAGTAAGTTTAACATTCCCATTTAAAATATTTTTCACTTTAAAAAAATCCTACCAAAAAAGTGTCACAAACTGAAGTCTGGCCCACTCAGTAATATCACCACATCATCTCCCATATTTCTTTGATCCTTCAGAGTCTAACTTTCTTTATTCCAAATGTTTTCCCTACTATAGCTTTTTGTTTGTTTCAAATGCTTCTATGTTCTTCAATCAGTATGAATCTAAGCAGCTTACAGAAGAAGTATAATTAACAATAAACCTCCTAGTGTTACCAATGGTGGCCCTCACTGTCTTAGTGTTCCAGATATATGTTCCTTGTTCCTCCCTCCTGTTCCCATTGGCCTCTCCTGTTAGGCTGCAGGAAATTACTTCAAACTTACCTAAGTGGACCCATTTCCTTGCTTTCTTTCTTAAGAGTTTCCTCTAAAAACTAACAGTGACTACTGCTATCTCTACTGTTTTAAAATGGGACAAGTTAAGGAAAGTGACTGGGATTTTCCTGGCTTCCTTTCCCCTGCCTACCTGCATCATCTGCTGGGCTCTTAAAAAATACTGAACCTGGGTTTAATAAATGAGTCTAGCATTCTTTCAAAAGAACGCTATATCCCTGCTTATAAGAAGCCTTTAGGAAACTCTGGTCAGGCATTTATGTGGACAGATGCCTCTATACGAAACCAGGTGTCTGCTGTAGTCCGATCCAAATAGTTTCCAGTGAGCGGAAGGGAAGTGTGAGTGCAAATAGCCTAAAGTAGTCAATAGGACAGGGCAGATTCCTCCCATGACCACTCCATCAACCACATTCTTGATTAAGCATCCTAAACTGAGTCCATGACAAAAATTGTATCAGGAGAAGAGCAAAAACGCTACTTAAATTGGAAAGACTAAAAATGACTTTAAGCTGCCTCAGCAATGGACTGGGGATGAAACAAAGGCAACATCACTGAGGACATTGCATAAGAAACTATTACCAGAGCATGTTCATACTGTGGTTAGAAGGATCCAAGGTTGAGCCCTAAGTTTCCATTGCTTCTTGCTGTGAAACTAAGACTGCATAGAGAAAGGATGGAAGGCCATGCTTGTTGGTTTTGCCCTTAGGAGCCCAGCATTATGTATGCATACAATCCTGGAAGATTTAGAATTATTATCATGTAGGGGTCTAAATCACACGAAGGCTTCTGCATGTAGATTTAGAGAGGGGCTGAAAGCAAACAAAAATTATTTCTGTTGAACAGCATTGAATATTTGATTTAATAGGCACTTTTTATTTAGGCCAGCAGTATTCCTACTCCCTCATAATGCCATCATATTAGCACCATTTGGCAATCCCATCCACCTCATCTAATTTTATAATGCTATTTACTGCATGTATATATTGACTTTGTTTTATAATTTATGGCACACTAATGAAAATAAGTTTGGTCAAAGGACTGCATGACTGGCAACTGGGTTATAAGGAGAGCCATTACATTTGCTTGAGTCAATAACTCACTTAATGTGCTTTAAGCAGAGTGTCTAGGATGCACAATTATTCCTAAGGTGTAGCAAAGTGCAATGAATCATTGGCTTGGGACTCAGTCTTCAGCAGCTTCTTAACCTGGTTCACGTGTCACACTAAGTCATCATTTTGTTTATTTGGTTTTGCCCAGCACACTCTGTGAACTCAGCCACTAGTGGTTTATAACCAAGTATATGATTGTGTGCTCAATGTATTGAAAACAGGAAAGAACACTTTCCCATCATTTTAGCAGCAGTTCCCAGCAGCCTCCATTAGTGGGAAATGCAAAGCCACCAATTACAGCTCAGAATTATGTACAAATCAGGACATCATGACATATTCTGCAAATCAGAGTATGGAAAAATATTGGATCAGTTTAATATATGGGAACAGCTATAGTGCCTTTCACTAGCATATTTCTTTAAAAAGAGGTAGAGGACTAAAATGTGCCTGCAGAAGGCTTACCTGCAAGCCTGTATCCCTAATCTCAAATTTATTCATCATGCAAAAAAAGATATGGCCGTATTGAATAATGTTTCTTGATAGCCAATTCCCAATTTGTTACTTCTTAAAAAAAACCTTATGAGTTAAAACCAATGCTCTATTTAACTTCTAATCTATAGAGCAAATGGGAGTGAAGAGAAAAGACAAGAGTTTGCACATAAGCAGTACAAAAAAGTAGTTTCTCTGCACTTCACGAATTATGGTTATTCCAGTTCAATGCCATCACATACTTCTCTAGCAAGTGCAGGGGAAGGCTGGCTCATAGCACTCCATGACTAGCCCAGGGCTCTGACGCAGATTCATAAGACAGTGTGCAATTCCACATTTCTGTTTATCTGTCCAACTAGTTTTTTGCTCTTAGCATTGCAGTAAAGCAAGGAAGTACACATGTATTCTTGTCAGATTTCTATAAAAGTAAAAATTGTTATGTTCTCCAGCAACAAGGTTGCCTTCACCCAGAGGAGGGAGGGAGGGCAGGCAGGCTGCTCCCTCCATCTAAAGAAAATGCTTAGAGATGGAGGGCATGCTGAAGCTGAAGGAGAAATTTTGGAATAGCAGTTGGAAGGGGTGATTTAGGCCCCAGAATCCAAGCCCCTACTCAGGACAGAAATCTAAATTAAAGCATCTATGACAAGTGTATGCCCAGTCTCTGCTTCAGTACATTCAATGAGCAGGATCACACTATCTCTCTGATAACTGATTCCTCTGGTGAACTGCCAGCTAGAATTTGTCTTCCTATAATGTAAATGACAACCAATGACAAATTTTTGCCTCCATGATCACAAATAGAGTTGAAAATTTGGTGGTAACTTTTTAAAATGTAGTGATCAAAGAAACCAGAGGAAAGAATTTTTTTTTTAATGCCATTTTTATATCTGTGCTACCGTATGAGAAAACAATGGGTACAGAATTAAAAGTATGATTCAGATAGGACACAGCTTGAAACTGGTAATCACATATGTAAACTGCAGGAAAGCTGCAATGCAACCATCAATCTACTTCCTTGCATGCACATTTAAAAGTGTGTTTTTTTCTTTCACATATGCTTTGAGAAAAGGGTTTAACAGTTCTTCAGTGCATCTTTACTGGCTGGAAATTCTGAGAGTTGTGATCTCAAGATTGCAAGGGATACTAGAGGAAAGAAGGCTGCTCTAGTGACATGTATAAAATTAATCAGAGACTGCACTCTTTCCTTGGGTATTATTTTCCTTCTTGATCACTAAATCCCAGTGACATTTTGCTGCAGTTTTAACCTGATGGTTGATTTTTTCCCCTGAATTGTTTCTAATATTGGTAATTCATATCTGTTTGGAGTTTAAGTCTGGACATGCAAATATTTGGGGCATCTCTGATGAAAGACCAGTCAGAGTGAGGCTAGTAAATATTTGTCAGAGACGCTCAAGTGTTACTAGATAAATTAATTTACACAGACCATGAGCTAAAAATACACCCAGAGAGATGTATCTGTGGCAGGCTGCCTGCTTGGTTTCTATGCCAACCATCAGTAGAGTTCATTAAGGTGCATCTGGCTTCCCCTAAAACCAACCTAAGAGGGAAGCAGTAAGATTGCCATTCAAAGCCACAAGAGGAAGAAGTGTTGGCTTGATTTGACTGTTGTGTGCATTTTAATAGAGATAGTTTACTAAGAAACAAAAAAGGTTGATGCTACAAAGAAAAAATTTACAATCATCCCCAAAATCTAGAGTTAAAAACTGATTATTACTACTACTACTATCATCATCACTTGCATTCAGCAAGTTTCTAGCCATGCTATAAAGATTAAAACACTAGAGGAATATTTAGTCTAATCTAGGAACAGGGAGGAGAGCCAGTGTGGTGTAGTGGTTAAGGCACCAGGCTAGAAACCAGGAGACTGTGAGTTCTAGTCCCATCTTAGGCACAAAGCCAGTTGGGTGACCTTGGGCAGTCACTCTCTCTCAGCCATAGGAAGGGGGCAATGGCAAACCACTTCTGAAATCTTGCCAAGAAAACTGCAGGGACTTGCCCAGGCACTCAAAGGCACCCCCAAAAAAAAAAAAAAAAAGCAGCAGGGAATTGGGGAGGTGGGGCCTCTCTGCTCTGTACAGTCTTCTGTATTCCCTCCATAAGACTGACAAAAGAAAATAAATTATCATAAATGGATACAGCTTTACAAATATTTGGTATTTGAATAATTTATTCAGACTTCAGTCCTGGGATTTTTATTTCTTAGGAAAGAGAATACAAAGCTGTAAGCATGCCTCTGGCAGGAGGTTAATGTAAAAGTTCCAAGTCAAATAGATCGATATACCATAAACCACAATTGTACTCAGGTTAAATAGTTATTGTAGCTTCTTCAGGTATGTTGCTCATGTGAGAGCTAAAGACTGCTTTAAGAGCCCTGTCTGGACTATAATTTACAGAGCTCTTTAATTAGTATTCCAGCTTTACCTTATCATAGAGAGGCTGCCAGCTACAGAAAAACACAGCAAGGTTATACAAATGCCTCCTCTGTCAATATCCCTGCCCATTTCTACCTGAAGGATCTGATCTGCATGGATTTTACAGTAGAAACATTGTCTTTTGAATACAGGATATTTATACAGTTGCAGCAAATCAGCTTAAGAGGGGGAAATATCCCACAATATAATTGTCCTCTGCCTGCATTAAGCCCCTTTGAGAAACTGGACAGCTGGAATGCACAGGAGCTTTTGGACTGATGAGGGAAGATGTAGCCAGAGCCAGAGCAGGGGCAATATCTATCACTTCCAAATAACAAACATCCTACATGTTAGAGGTGTCATAGCATGTCATGCTCAGAAGATTTTTCTGAAGGAAAATACAGGGCAAAGTGGAGCCCCTTTCATATATGCCTGATCACATGAAGGCTTGAAACTAGACAGAAATGGAGCTGCATAAAGTCCCCAACCTTTACGTACTGAACTGGGAATCTAGAATGGGAACAGTATTCACGTTGGTTTGTACGCAAGGAAAACTCTCTGCCACAAAATAATGTTCAAGATTGCATAGAGAGCTGAAGTTGTCTTCAAACAAATGTAGTAACAAGTCTCCTTCAGACCTTTTCACCAAATATGAGGATGCCTGAAGGGAGCTTGGGTCTTAAGCTTGGACCAGGGGAGGTAGAAAGAAACAGCATGTAGTTCAACCCTGAGTTATCTCCCAACTCCAAACACAGAAATGCAGGAATGTGAAGAATTGGTACTATTGGACTCCTGCATGGTAACTGTAGACAGCAATTTCCCCACAGTTGTGGATACCATACTGCAAATTTTTCAGCTGCTATTAAATGGCTCCATCTGACACCATCCTTGGTAAATACAAGTAGCCTTAAATTGAAGTATAAAACAGTGTATAAATACCTGATACTGAGAAGAGGCCTTGTTTTATGAACTTGAACATCACACATTGGACAGTATTTGTTGGTCTCCAGGTAGCGGACAATGCAGGTTTTACAAACTAAAAAAGAAAGAAAACAATGGGTAGAAAAGGGGAGCCACACAGGAAAAGGTGTCTGAATTTATGAAATGAAGAGATACCCCAAACTTGGTTCAAATCTGGCCTTACTATGAAACAAAGCAGTGGTCACTCAAGCTAGCTAGAAAACCGTCTGGAGTCAAAATTCTTCCAGGACTGCTGGTTCAGCTTTGTCAGTAGTAGACATGAATAGTGATGGGGAAAAAAAAATAGTCACAAAGATAGGAACTTGCCATGCACTGTAAGGTAGGAATGAAAAATTTCTGCTGTCTATCAAATGCTCAGGATGCAGACTCAGTTATGAAAAGAAAGAAGTAAAAAGGAGAGACACATTAAAAATAAAGTTGAGAAAATAACATCCTGGTAAAATCTTAATCATTTCATATGCTCAGCTCCTGGACGTTCCCAGGTATTGACTGGAAATTTGGGGAATTGCAGCCTCAGCACATCTGAAAGTGCCAAATTACAGATGGCTGAGTTATCCTGATCAACATAAAAAACAGGACAGAAAAGTTCAGGGCTGCAGGTAGCCTTGGGCCAAGCTGAATGGCAGATGGTGAGATGCCATGACAACAGAACTGTCAGTGATTTAATGATGTATAGAGCATTAGTGTGGAGAAGGTATGATTTTCCTTCTGAGATGCCAGTGAATTAGCCCCAGGCTCCACTATCTTCTTGCCAATAATTGCAACATTTCTCACCTCTGAAGCTATGATTTTACCAGCCTTCCCAAAATCACACAGTCCCTTTTGCTAAGATAATAAGACACATTTGCTATAAATCTGAATGAGAAATTGTACTCTAATGGGTGAGTGTGTAATAGTAGTAGTAGTAGCCTCACATCTCAAGAGTTTTGACTACTTGCTCTTCATAAAATAGAGATTTCTTTATAACTGATGTTTAACTGTATTCAGACATACCTCATCTATATTGTCAAATATGTAAAGAATTAAATAACAGTAAAGAAACCAGGGTCTCTGAGATTGTGCTAAGTGATACCCTTTTTTTCCTTTTTTCATTCACTGGTGATTAACTGGCAAGTAGTGCTAAATGGGTAAGATGAGAACTCAAGCTCAGCTAAATCTTGCCTCTTTATTTTAAGTATGAGCATATTCTCAGTAGGAATCTTTAACTCATCCTTCATTGTATCAACATACAGTAATATCTTGCTCAGATATGCTGTTTTAACTCTCACTGTTGTCCAGACTCATTAACAAAATTATCTTCATTGGGCAGTAGAGAGGAAGAATATTTTGAAAATCAGGGAAATCAAGTTTGCCAGGACAATTTGAAGAATGGGAGATTACATACCCAGCAGTGAAGGAAATGCATGTTCTGAAGGGACAACATAATTATCCTGCATATTTTGAAATGGACCAACATTAACCAGAGAGTCCAGGGATTCTCTCAAGTTCAAATTGGTAGCTTCCAAGTTTTGTTTGAAACTTACATGAATGTAAGCATTCCACAATAGTTGTGGCATCTATAAAGTAGCCTCCGCATAAGGCGCACATTAAGTGAGGGTTCAGCTCTGTGATTTTTATCCTGGTAGTTCTGTGCATCCTGATGAACTCAGCAAATTGTCTCTGGAAAAAAAGGAAGAACAACACAACAGTAAGTCAAACAGCCTCACTCATCCTGAGAGGAAAATGCCTTGGCAGAAGCCTCACTTTTCAAGCTGACGGCCAATAGCAGGCTGCAATATTGAAGATGACAACTGTATACCTTGGAATCCCATAGAAGGTGATTATCTGCTATGACAAGATTATCTCAAAGGCAAGGATTATCTGATACTGCACTAAGAAAAGGTTTTCATCTTTTCCACGTAATTTTTGACTGGTGCTATCAGTTAAAAGGTGGAACGGACACCATCATTCCCAGGATCCAGAGGGCCTCAGATATCACTCTTCTGTCACACTATTCCCATAAGACAAGTACAGAAGTTCTGTCAGCTATCCTCAAGATCAAATTCTTTTTCAATTAATAATATCCCACTTCTCTTCACAAAAAGGAAATCCAAGGTGGCTAACAAAATTCATAAAGCTGTTCGCAGACACAGCATTTATAAACATTTATAACATTGGTGATTATTTTGAAACTCTAGCATAACAGACTGAACTTATTTACTTATTTTATTAACTACCTGTATCATTTATTACTTATTTTATTTAGCTATATGTACCTTGTCATTTAATAAAATAGACCCAGGCTACCTACACTAAACATTTCAATAAAATGTTTAAATAAAAGCAGCAATGGAAACAATTCAATACCAGATAACACTCAGACAAAAGTGCATAAATATAGCTGTCATTTATTTATAATAATTTTGTTATTGTTTTATTAGCTATCTTAAATACCCACATGAGTAGAACAGCAGGATATAAACTGAACAAAATTTAAAAATACATAATTATATAAACTGCATGAAAATAATCACTTAAAATATCAATAAAAGTGAAAAGACAGTGCCATGGAGAAGACAAATCAGTTCAAAGGCATAAAGGCGTGTTTAAATAAGACCCATTTACTTGCAGGCCAAAAATCAACAATGGGTGCAGGGCTAGGCAAGTCTCTCTCAATACTGTATTCCCAAATTTGGACAGAACCACTGTTCAAAGGTTTATTTCATTTCATTCCCAACAAATTCAGGAAAGAGAAAAAAAATGTCTCTGCAGAAGATCACAACACCTTCACAGGGCCAGATGGGATAAGGTGATCTTTTAGGAAAATTTGCCTGAAGCAAATTAAGACTTTATAGGTAATAATGATGTTGCAAATTGTCTCTAGAAACACATATCAAGTAGTCCTCGACTTACAACCACAATAGGGATCGAAAATTCATTGTTAAGCGGCGTGATTGTTAAGCGAGGCGTCACATGACCGCACCCAATTTTACAACATTTTTTTGTGGCAGTTGTTAAGTGAATCATTGTGTTCATTAAGTGAATCACATGGTTCCCCATTGATTTTGCTTGTCGGAAGCCAGCTGGGAAGGTCGCAAATGGTGATCATGTGATCCTGGGATGTTGCAACCATTGCAAATACACGCTGGTTGCCAAGCACCTGAATTTTGATACTGTGACCACAGGGACACTGTGATGGTCATAAGTGCAAAAACTGGTCGTAACTCACTTTTTTCAGTGCCACCATAACTTTGAACGGTCGCTAAACAAATGGTTGTAAGTCAAGGACTACCTGTACTAGCAACCAGTGTAGATCTTACAGCCTATAAGTCAGATGCTGTCAAATCATTAACCCCAGTCTACAGCCTGCCAGCAACACTTTGAGCTGGCTTCAAAAGGTAGCCTGCCATAGCTATCTGTAGTCATTCAAGCAACCAACACATGTGACTATCACCCAGCTACCATATCACAGTCCTCAAGGGACAGGGAGAATTGTTAGTGCACCAACCTGAACTGAGGAAAAACACCTAGGCAGCTACACACTTGCTTCAACTAATTAATGATTCTTCCCTGAAAAAGGGAACTTGCCAGACCTGCTGCTTTGCCAGGGACCAGGTAAAAACTAAGGTTTGTCCACTTTTGCAAAACTTAATCATCACAAAGTATTTTGATTTTCAATTCCTTTTTTAAAATAATGAGTTTTTTTTTTCTTAGCTAATTTATCAGAAGTCAAACTGAATGGGGTGAAAATTCAGTCCTTGACATCAAATTTGGATCATCAGTTCTTCAGCAGGAATGGGAGTGGGGGCACATTCCTACCTCCTGCTTCTGATTTTCCTGAACCTACCTCCTTTTCCACCTTAAAATGTCAAACAACATCACTTAAATTGGCTGCAAGGAGAGGCTTTTGCTATTCATGGATCAGTGGCACTTTCAAGACAGCTTAGTGTGCAACTTCCAGGTTACAGCCCTGCACTAAACCTGCTAATGTAACAGAGCCCTTCTCTCTCTTTAAGGTCAGAAGAGAGAATGGAAGAGCTGTCTGATACAAGAACAAATGCACATTAGGCAGGTGCTAATTACATGCTTGAGAAAGATTTTGGGTATCAAAATAGTAGCACTGAGGATGCTCAAATTTCTTTCTTATCTTATGCTTCACCTTTTCCAGCTACCAGTTAACATCCCATTTTCACCACCCTACAATCCAGGAAAACAGTGGTGTGACAGAAATTAAATAATACCATAACTCAGAATTTGTATAGAGGTTATTTAAAGAAGATTAGAGGGAGAAAAAGATAGCTGGGGGCAGGGAGTCTGGAGATGTAGACCTTCTGGTGGGAAAATATATAACCCATTACCTGAGCAGAAATTTCTAAACTAGTACGTAGAATAGGCATAAGCAATTTGTCTGTGAAGAACTGCCCAGTTCTGTAGATCACAACCACTGTTTAGGTTCTGGGTCAATTGCATCTGGGTAACAGCTCCATCTATCAAGATTACTGTACATTTGGTTCTCCAACGTAAGTGATTCTAGAAATCTAAAATTATTTGGCTTTATCTAGCTAGACCAGGCTTTCCCAACCCTAATAGCACTCAGATATATTGGATACAATTTACATCAAGTTCCCTGTGTTCAAATCCATATACATAATTAAAACCCCTGCCTTTGGCACTTACACATGGCCTCTATTTTAAAAAAAAAAAAAGCATTGTTCCTCTTCTCTGCTGCAAAAATAATTCACTCCTCCAAATTTTAAGAGAAATAGGGGAGGG